TTTTAACTGACTCCATATAAATTGAGATGTTTTATGCATCACGCTACTTTTCTTAGTTACAATAATCCTTAATGCGGTACCTTGCTTCTGAATCTTAGGCAAGCCATACGCGTTTGACCATTAGTGGAGTTCAATGCTAATATCACCACTATACTTACGACCTGATATCGAATTCTGCTGGGTGCCCTGCTGAAACTTAATCGAGATCGACACAGTACACCTTGGATTAGACAAACTTTTGGGAGACAGGGCTAAGTGAAATGCAATGGCATCGCTAGGCCTACTCATCTTATTTTGCCACTATAAAAGTACTTATAGAAAACTCCTAAGTTTCGGAGATTTGCTTTAATTGTATTTACTTTCCTATTCTTACATGGTGCTTTGCATGACCATCAATTAAAGGGACAATCTGTAATTCCATGTCACTTAGTATTCTTTGTTAAATTTATCAATCCTATCAACATTTCCATCTTGAAATTCTTACCATTTGGAAAGGCAAAGTTCAATCTCTTCGATTAGATTTTCTCAGTAGAGAAGTCCGATGAGGTTTTGGACAGATTTATCTCTGGCAATGGCTTTCCCATCTTCCACTTCACTAGAAAATGAATAGCTAATTCTTATATTCAAATTTCTTGATCTCTTATCATATTTCTCTCTAACCGGCCGAGAAACTTCACTACAATCTATCCACTTGAGGACGTTTTTCGGTCTAAGAGTCTGAAAATATTTGCCTGAATGGTTTTAATTTTAATTAATTAGTACAGCTTTCCAATGTTTTTCTCAAGTCTGATAGCCAAATCATGGCATACTCTTAAGAGATCGTTCTTAGTCTTATAAGGTAAATTAGGTCTAGAAATAACATAAAATTTAGAAACGATTTTACTTGAGGAGCAATCTCTCATTTAAACGAATGTGATTGACTTGCCTGACTTGTCCCTGAAGCTAGCACTGGCAATGTTCACTGACGATACTGTCACGTCTGGTAATATACCATATTCACGATCCTACACTGGGAATTGTTTTGCATACCATAGTTGAGGACTCAGGACAAGGCGAGTTCATCTCTCTAAAGTTTCTAACCGAGGTCAAGCCAACTTTATCAATTCTTAAATCGCCTTAAGCGACCTAGAGTGATTATGCTCTTATTCGAGAATAATAGATAGTCTTGGATACGACTTGTATTTAAATTAAGTAGCATTGTATTATTTGTTTTTTTGCTAAGGAATTTCATCTAATGCCTTATTTCCACTTAGGACGGCAACGATGACTGGCAAGATTATCTTCGTGCCTCTTATGAGTCAGCCGCCTCGCACGTATTAGACTTCCATTTCAGTCTGCTTAAGCTTCTTTCCAGATCATTGCATATGTCTGGAGTTGGCGCTCTCTCTTTCAATCCCACACCAGCAGCACCATCACCTGCAGGCACTAATGTAGGCGGAAATGTCATTGTCGGTACTGGTTATGTTTACTCGCATTCTGTTCCGAATGATACTGCATTTTCAACAGGTTTTGCAAGCATTAATGAGCGCCCAACTCACCTATCTAGTCGGCCACGGTTTTCTCCACTTCTACAGCCGTCTCCGTTATTTTCACAATCCCCTAGCCAGGCGGCTGGTGAACCAGGTTGCTTTCAAAGGGTGGGTGATACATCGACTAGCTTCATCAATCCACTTACCCGAAATATTGAAACTCCTTTGACACACACTCCATTGTCATCTCCCATTTCTGGAGGCGCGAGTTCTCGAATCTGCCGTTTTTTTTCCAGCAAGCGGCTTGCTCGAGGAGACACTAGCTCTATCGATTTGGTGCTTACTTTGCGGTATGTTGATCATCGAGATAGCTTCTCAACATCGGCTAATCGACAGGATG